CAAGATGGCACGTCATACAGGCTGCGGGAACTGAATGCCCTGAGCAAGATGTCAAATGAAACGATTTACAGATTAAGATCTCAAGCACCAAGCACAGTATTTCTGTTCTGTTCAAGTATGAATTCAGAGGACACTTTGTTCCGAGACAACAGCAGCTGGACACTCATATCCCGAAAGATAAAAAGTTATGGGGGTGATTTTCTGATGTGACGGAGCACTCTGTTCATTTGAGGCTTAATGGAGTCTTTCTGTACTTTACACTGAGGGACCAACAATCACACTGAGTGCTTCCTGACACAGGTCAATGAGAAGACAAGCCGCACAAAATGATAAAGAAGAGCAGGGAGAATAAAAAGGAGCATGCTGAATGTATAAAAGTGGATGCTTGACTTTGTGTCTTCTGCTTGGTTACTGTCTGTGAAATACAAAGAGTTCTGTTGCCACCTGCTGGAGAGACGGCATGACTGACGTGTGATCAGAGACAGAACAAAATGTGTTATACTGACAGGTGAGAGGAAAACAAAGGTTACACTTCAGATCTGAAGGAAAACAAAACTGATTTTTTAAATTAATACTCTGGGCAAATGTAGGAAAGGAAAAATGAAATGTGCATACAGCTATGTGCTTATGACAGAAAGAAAATACTTAGACTTAGTGAGACTGCTACAATCAAGATTTCCATGCCAACACTGAATCAAGTAAGTAAATCTGAACGTATAGCACCCAACCCCCAGCTGAGGGGCTCAACAGCAGTGATGGGTGGATGGATTCTTTTCACAGTATCAGTTCCTTCAAGTTAATTCATATAAATACATCACACCTTTTGAGTTTAGATGATGCAAAATATGGTGTCAGTTTCTTCATGATATGCGTTACAGTACATGCACATTCATCAACTGGTGGTGCTAGTCATCATGCATAAGCATCCCACTTGTATGTAGGTAGGCCAGGTAACGATCATTATCTGTTTTTCTTTGAGGAAGAAAGAAGTAGCAGACGTCCCAGTTACCTCTGCAGCTTGTGCAGCATTCATGTGCTGTCGAATAACCTTAAAAAAAATTAGTTCCCGATCATTTATATCCCAGTAATGGCAGTGTCGGCAAGCTGATTTGGCCCAATTCTGGGGCATCATTCATACCGATTCTCAGCCGAGTCAAGCAACCCGATGCCGAGTTTGGGCTGATGCTGGGCCAGGTCATTTCTGATAACTGCCCAGTGATGGTAGTGTCAGCAGCCGTAATCGCGCCATTTGATTTGGCCAGATTCTGGGGCGTCATTTATACTGAGCCCCAGCTGAGTCAAGCGACCGGATGCAACCCAGCTAATTTCATCGGGCATGCGGAGTTTGGGCCAGTGCAGGACAAGGTCATTTTGGCTACCTGGGAAGGTTCTCCTGATCTGTATACTTTGCTCTTCATTATCAGTGTGTTCTTTCAACACTCTGAGCAATAAAATACAACACATCGTCTTTTTAGCTAACTTCAACTAACTAACTTCAATGCAATACGTTGAAAACTATCAATATTTGATATCATTTTCAATATCATGGGAGACAAAACTGACACTAGGGGCATCACATTTAAAGTCTTAATTAATATAAATATAACACATCTATAACATGATGACAACTTTTCTTTTCTTGGTTAGTCGCAGAGAACAACTATTGACTGTAAAAAAACACAAGCAATAACAGACAGCAAGAGAGCACAGCTGGTACTGGTGTATCTATACTGTGGGAAATGAGTATTGAAACAATTTCACATATACAGAATCAATATGTATTGATAAATTGATATTTCTGCCAACACTACAGTGGAGAATTTAACAGCTAAGAGCTAATATTTCCCCTCTGGATTTGAGACTCAAACTGAGCTGCAAGGAGAGTGACTATTGGATTTTCATCTATCAGGTGGAAACAAACACAACATCAAATGAGTGCCAGCGTTGCTCCATATCTGTGGATGTGTAACTGTTTGCAAACAAGTTCACCACATCGATTCAAAAGTTCAGTCAGCAATTGTAATCGAATACACTTTTTCTCAAACTAAGCAAATATCTCTTCACAGTCTGCTAGCGATCTGTTCTGTATTCATACACAGCCCTGGCTCTGTTAATGGGAAACAAACAAAGCGGCTCGGGCCAAGCCAAACAACACTATCATGCTGTAGTCGTGCACAGGGCAGGGGAAAGGCCATGGATGTATAAAAAGAAAGACAGTGGGAGCGAGTGTGATGGTAAAACAGAGCTTCTGAGGGAGCTCTGACTGGAGGGGTGTATTTGTTTGGGTGCTGACTTCAAATATCAACAATCTTACTCCAGAATCGCAGACTCCACATTTTAACCTGCAATAACTGATTTTTCTCTTTTCTTTTTTCGCCACTTGGGGGCAGAGGAAAGTCCTGAGGGAAATATCTGTCTCTTCAGTTGCTAAATCCTCCACTGTGTTTACCCACTCGCCACGAACTATGTCAGTCTGCTGTTTGGTATGGACTACAGTGAGTTTTGGGCTTTGGCACTGAAAACAGCTGCCTATGACGCTATGACAGAAGAGAGAGGCGACCAGTGTTTTAGGGAGATTTAGAGGCATCTAGCAGTGAGGATTGCAAACTAAAAGTTTTCCCAGTTAGTATTCCTTCAGTGTTAATGGTTCAGGAGGTTTTTCACATGGGCTGAATTATCCACAGAGTTCTCTTCCTCTCCAAAACAAATAGACCAGGTGACTAAAACCAGCAAAAGCACTGAATAAGGCCCCAATCTTACACAGAAAGCATTTTGCAGGTTCACAGTAATTAGTATCTAGTTCCTAAAATGTTGAGGCAGAGGGTACTTGCTGTAGCTCTGGTTGAGGGTGAGAGGCTGTCAGTAAATAGTTTGTCAGGCACAGGGAAACAGAGATCTGTGTAGGTACATGAGACCCTAAAAAAGAGGGTGGATCATGGGGAGTACCACCAGTCAGTCCAGGAGCTTCACCTCGCTGATGGCTGTTTCCAGGCAGATTTTAGGATGACTCAGGGGCAGTTTGACAACCTGCCGTCTATCGTCAGGCCTAGCATAACAAAAATGAATACAAACTACTGGGAGACCGCTGGATGTGCTGAGCGACTGAGCACCACCAGTTTCTCCTCCACTGTTTACCAACTGTAAACTAGTGGTCGTGACCATCACAGAAGGCCCGCCTCTCAAATCATCTGATTGGACAATGGGGGAAAACAGCATTTACGTGGGGCACTTTTCCGCTCTGAGTTGAAGTTTTTTCAACATGAGGAGTTCAGAGTACTCCAGCAAAAACGTCCGGCACCTAGAGTGCAGAAACTTGAGGTGCATCGCAACGCAAAAACAGCGAGCAAAAAGCTTCATTCTCCTTAAAAACAATTACAAAAAGCCACCTCCAGCTGCTAAAACACTTTCTGTGTGATAGGGGCCTAAAGCAGATCATGTTTTTTTTAAAAAAAAAGCTGTGTTTTCAAAACTATGGTGTCAGTCATTAAAACACCAATGGCCCTATCTAGAGCCAGTGTTTAGTTTGGTTTCTGTTCTAGGCGATGCAAAATGGTGATCTCTTTCAACAAGGACCTGCTTTGTATGTAGATATAAACAGCTTATTCTAAGGTAACAAAAACACAAGGATTCTTATTCTTTTAAGGTGATTATACACCAGAAATCAAAGAAATCAGACTGATCATATTATATTCCATTTCTGCCAATATATCCCCCCTAAATCCTACACACTGGACCTTTATGTGACCCGACAGCTAAACAACGAGCTGAAACTCACCATAAAGCTCCGTAATGAGGAGCTGAGGGAAGCTGCAGAATCAGGCCTCTGCAGGTTCATCACTACGAGCAACCCTGTTCATATAATCACACTGTTCTCACACACTGACTTTTGACACATATATTATGGCCTGACCTGGCTGACGGGCTTTGCGCTGTTGATGCTACAGCTTCCTTGGTTGCGTCAAGTTCAGACAATAAACTGCAGGTTCCAGTTGCAGTACAATCAATGTATTTATTCACACCACCAAACACAGGGTGAATCGACACCTTTGGCTTTTACAAGGTCTAATCAATCACATTTGAAAGCAGCTATAAGCCTAATCATAAGGCCTATAGCTGCATGGAGACGTGGAGAGATGTCAGAGTGAGGCAATCTGAGCAGTTGAGATTTCGGCAGTGCCCCAGAGGTGAACTGGCACCTCTCCAACAGCTAGTCCACCCCCCATAATTGGTCCAAATGGGGACTTGAGCCAGCGACCCTCCAGATCCCAACACAGGTCCCTATGGACTGAGCTACTGCCGCCTCATTTAGAGCTTGTTCCCCACGGTGTGACCAGCCCAAAATTAAAATCTGATGTCATGTTATTAGACTGCATTTAAAAACACAGCGGTAAAGAAACCCAATAGAGAAGGGGGGGGTATCTGCCTCTAAAAGTGCAGAGTCAGTGAAAATACACTAAAAATCAAGAGGTTAGAATTCCCCCCCCCCCCCCCCAAATCTATGCCCAGTCAGCAAATTATATCTTATCTTTATCTATATTGTAAAATTACCTCAGGGGTAGTTTCATATCATTTGACCTGACAGAAGTTGCTGCACTATTCCAGCCCTGCTCCTGGATAATTTCACCCCTTATAATGCATCCACAGGAGCAGACCTAGAAGAATAATAAAGGTCAGAGCTGTCAGTGTGTCAGCAGTTAGAGAAGACTCCATGAACACCTCAGAGTGCCTTTGTATGGTAGAGAAAATCACTGTCAGGTAATTACAGGAGCATTCTGTCATTTATTGATTTGTCTGAGAAACATCACTTTTGGTGTCTATTTTTGCTGTTCCTCTTAAATTAATGGTTACATTAATTCTCATACTGCTGGAGGGAACCAGGCATGCTTCAGGGACCCCTGGGGGCTCCATGAATCCACCAGGAGTCAGGGATTTGGGGAATTGTTTGTTCCCTGTGATGCCACTAGATGTCACACAAACAAACACCGGCTGTAGCTGCTGATTGAGTCTTTCCAAGCATCTTCATCTGTGAGATTTTACACCCTGTTTAGTGCCAAACAAGCGCCCACTGTTCCTGAATATTGATCGCTCACTGTGATGAATTAGAGCTCAGTTTGGTGCCGCGGTGCATCGAGGAAAAAACAATCATGTGTTGAGATCCGTGCGTCATCGGGACCCCGGCAGCGGCGGTGGCGGTGCGTACTGCTCACTGCTTCTTCGTCGTGTCTCAGACAGGAGTGTGGGGGTCAGTAAGAGCACACACCGACCACAGATTAGTGCGATTAATTGAATCAATCAGCCGACCAATCCGTCGGGACCGGGGCGCCTCAACCCGGATGACCTCCGGAGTGACGGAGGGAGAGATAGAGCGCGGACGGAGACGGGGGGAGCAGCGCCGGAGGAGATGCGCATATCTGCAGGTACTCTAGCGCTGTCGTAAAACGGGAGTCGGGAGCGAGGCAGCAATCGTTCAAGCGATGCCAGGGGTAACCAAGTACAATTTAGTGGATGACGCGCACGATTTGAGGATCCCCATGCACAACGACGAGGTGTTTAAGCATGGGGTCTGCTTCGAGGCAAAGGTAAGGAGCCTCTGCAACAGATACTTTGTGGGTGGCAGCGATGAGAGCGCTGGATCTTCACTGTAACACTGAGATGTCACTGCTACTGTAACAACAATCACCACTGTACAGATTCTCATCCACTGCTTTATGTGATGTTTAATAACCCCTCGAATACTTTAGATATTTGTTCACTTTGCATGACTTTGAAATGTTTGTGATTTTTGACCTTACTTGCATGAAGAAGTGTCGCTTTAACTGATAACTTGATGAATGCTGACATCATTTATTTGCATTATAATTTATGATAAGTGCAGAACAATCCTAAGATACTTTGCCTTTGGATTCTGGCACCCGGCATAATGAGTCTGAGTCTAACAGAGCTAAAACTAACAATTATTTTCATCATTGATTGATCATTTTCCTAATTAATCATGCATAAAACATCAGAAAATTGAGAGACATGCCCATCACCATTTGCAGTACCTCAAGGTGATGGCATCAAACGTCTTGTTGTGTCAGACCAACAGTTCAAAACCCCTAAATGTGTCATTCAGGGGAGACCGGGGACGGTTGTAACATTTTTGACATCTGTATCTTCAAGAGCTTTTAAGCCAGTACATTCAAAATGTGATACAAGCTATTTACATGTGTCTGCTATTAAATGGTAGAGTTTTCTTTGTAACAATAATAGTCTCAAACACAAGGAGTGAAATGTTATAAGCCTAGTTCAGACCAATGATTCGCAACGAGACGAAACCATTTTAGAACGTACAGCAGAGAAAAGTTGCAGCAGTGCAACTGCTTGCTGAGCTCGAATCAAGCTGGCTGATGTTGGCACCTGTAACTCCGCTGGTCAAATCACTGGCAGCTGGTTTTAGAACATAAATCACGTCACCTGTTTCTACAGCCAGTCAGCTTGTAGTGAAGTCCATTGGTCAAGTCAAAATCACCGCAGAGGGCTTGTTTTGCTTGCTGCAGCAGGTGCTCCATCCCTGCCGAACCCTCTGTTTCTGTCCTCACTGTGTGCTGGTGTTGTTTGATGGGTCGCTGCTGCTGCTGCTGCTCGATATATGTTCTTATGCCCCCTCACACACATACACAATCTCACTGACTAATTGGCACAGCTTACTTATATTATTGTGGTGTCATGAATACAGTCCATCTGATGCTCGTTTTGTTTGTTTTTTGCCGTTTCATCACTACTACAAATGCAGCTGTAGCCAGTATCTCACTATCACTATCCTCATTCATATTTTAAGAAGCTACAAATCATATTCAGCCACAAAATAAACCTGAAAAGCTGGAAATCAGAACAGAAGCACAGAGAGTTGTTGCATAGAGATGATACACCATTTCATCTATTTGCATTGGTGTGAACCAGCAGGTTTTTGCAAGTAGTTGCCTGTTTCAATTTGTCTCGTTGTGAACCTTTGGTCTGGACTGGGCTTTAAAATTCTCCCCATAGTCATGGATCATGAAATAAGGATTTTGACAAAAACTTTACATATTGAAAGCTTTTTATTCAACACTTAAAATTTAACTGTTTTAACGTGTGTGTGAATGTGTCTCTGTGTGAGCAAAGTATGTTAGTTACTGCCACATAGTCAGGGCCAGAATACGTATTTGAGCAACAGAGTGGGGACATTTTGGCCGGTCCTTACATGTTCAAAGGCCCGTTTGAGGGTTAAGACATTTAGGGATTAGGTTTGGATTAGGGTTACAGCTCATTTAAACTCTCTTTACATATGAAAATAGGTCCATTCATTTCAAATGCTGTAAACATCACTGCCCTCATACTTCCATGAGTCCTTTATGTTGGCATAGCTACGGCTAATAGAGGGCACTAGAGGGCAGTGTCAAAAGTTTCTGACAACACTAAACAAGGTGAAGGTGTAGAAGGTCGTAATAATGTGACTTTTAACAGAGACAGCATGGTAGATGGCGGGGGTCTGTACAGCTGTTAAAAACATTGCGACATGTGGATGGAAAATTCTTTAAACTATATTACAGATTTGTTTATTTTCGCCATTTTTGAAAAGCCTTCTTTGAGTCCCATGGTCATGTCTCCCTTGAACAACGCTACACTGCCCCCACAGTTTCCAGTGGTGCCTCTTTGTTTTATCTGTGTCCATAAGCTTTCAGAAAACGTGTACAACTATGGGCAAAATTAACACGTACTCGACAAAAGGCTCCATTTATTTCATTATACATATATAAAGCGCTTTTGGAAGTCCTCAAAGACGCTTTATATAGAGTAGGATAACAAACACAGTAATCTTTATTGAAGACAATAAAATAAAAGACTAAAACTGAATAGAGTATGTAACACTGAGTATAAATGAGTCCTTGTGGTAAGGGTTAGGGTTAGGCATTTAGTGTATGTGTGTGTGTGTGTGTGTGTGAGTGTTTTCTTGCTTCTCTGCCCTGTAATCTCTTCTTTAACAGGAACAACTTGCATCAAAGATATCGATATAGACCTATAATAGTGTGACTTAAGCTTGATGAACTTGACTTCAAAGCAGGTGATAATATAACAAAAATAAATGAAGTGAACAACTTACTGTCTTATCACAAAATTACTTTTGGCTCAGTCTGCTAAAGGGTGCTAATTAATCACATGAAGAATAAGGACTAAACTGAGCATGTGCAGAGTACATCAAGTGATTCATAGCTTGTTTCTGGTTAGAGAAACATAAAGTGTTACAACTATCCCGTGTTATACCCGTCCCTGGTGTCCCCTACTATCATGTTAGACAGAAAAAACAGCAAATTCTCAAATTTTAGAGGCCGGAAACATCAAATATGTTATACTTTTAATGGAAAATTGCCTTAAAAAGGTCTAGTGTGTTGGATTTAGGGGGATATATTGGCAGAAATGGAATATGCATAATAAATATTTTTATATTGCCATTTATATCTACATACGGAGCAGGTTGTCATTTGTGGAGAACGCTATGTTGCACTGCCATGTTTCTACAGTAGCCCAGAATGGACAAACCAAACACTGGGTCTTGATAGAGACATTTGTATCAGCCACCCTTGTTAGAAGCCCCTCTGCTGCGATTTTTAACATGAAACAGCTTTATTTCCCAGAAAAAACCTCCTGAATATCTGGATCTTAAATCATCAGAGAGAAAAGGTGAGCACACATTAGCATGTGGTGGGCGAGCTGCCCATCTCTGACGTGCCAAACAGTATCGGAGAAACACTGATTTGCAATGTGAAGCTGCTTTATTCAGTGTTTTTACCGACTTAAATCACTCAGCCCGTGTGTTTTGGAGAGGAAGAGACCTCTATAGATAATTTGGCTCCTTCTGAACAATGAACACTGAAGGAATTCTAACCAGAAGTTTCAGCTGGTTGCAATCTGCAATCCTCACTGCTGGTTGCCACCAAGTCCCTCTACATCTTACACACTGTTCCTTTATCTGATCAAAAAAGTTAATTCAATTTCTGTGGACCCACTCATCATTACAGCTCTAGCATTTAGTGATTTCCTCAAAGAGCAGGAACAGTTCCAGAAATGTATTTAAAAAGCTGCCAAAACTACAATGGCACTCAACAATCTGCCAGCCCAGCACTCCCTGAGTAATCAGCAGCATTCATTCCCCCAAGCTTCCTCTCTTTAAACCTTTCTCTTACATTTTGCAGTACATCGGCAGTTTGGAGGTGGGTCGCCCCGGCAGCCGAATGGAGATAGTCGCTGCAATGAGGAGAATCAGAGTAAGAAACTTAAATCTGTGACTTTCCTAAGCGAGAAAGACCTCTGTGACAGCAGCAGTCTCCGTTAACAATGACCCAGCGACTGATGCGGGTGCATGCACGTTAACTCTCTATCTTGTGTTTTACCTTGTGCACGGTGCTCAGAAGGATCCTCACTCCCCTCAACATCCTCTTTACACATAAATCACTGGTCTGCGTAAAACTACACACTCGGCAGATTCAGTGGGCTGTCAGGAGCGGTTTAAATCAAAGCAGGACTCACAGGGCAGCTCTGGTTTTATGGCTGGGGAGAGACACGGCACACAGGTTTATATGCGATAAAATTGGGAAAACCAACAGCCCCCCTTTATACCACACAGGCTCGCTGGAAACGCAGTGATGCCCTGTCATTACACATCACTGCAGTGTTAGAGAGGAGCACAGGGAGGAGAGGATTTAGCCGCTTGTCAGATGTTGGATCTAATCTCACAACCAAGTTATTGAGTCACTCGGAGCTCGGCCACGGTTACACCCAGCAAGCACTTAATCCTGATCCCTCATGTACAGTGAGAGCAGTATCATGGTCATTTGGTTCTAATGTTTAAGATTTAGTGATGCTGCATGTTTGAGTGTCCTCGCTGACACATCATTCAGGAATCTCAAGGATTTCTGATTCTCAGATTCTTACAGTTTCTCTCATAATGCATTTTAAAAAGAGCTTTTGATTTAGCAGCTCAATTGAAAAGAAAAACTATCTGCACAGTGCACAAGGTAGTACAAGGTAACTCAAGGGCTGTTCAAGACCTCGCTGGCCAAATCTGTGTACTGTACCTTTTTCATCTGTCCTTAAACAACCCATTTTTAATTAAATTTCTTTTATGCTACGTCGCTCTTATCTAAAAGCACGGTTTGCAGAATGCTCCTCTGCAAGGCTTCAAAGCAAAAATAATAAACGAAAGGAGATGAAATAAAAACAGAAGAAAAGAAAATGCATAAAGAGACAAATAAGTATGTGAATGCAAACACAATAAACAACGTGGTATTAAACATGGGGGCGAAAGATTAAAGTTGATAGCATAAAAGCAGTCTGTAAAAGAGTCGGAGCTCTTTGAGAGCGCTGTAATGGCGCAGTAATTAAGAGTCTCTACTTCTGGAGAGACGGACCCTGAATATTCAAAAGCCGCGTTGTCCTTAAAGCACTCGCACTGGCTTAGAGATAAGACAAGAGGTGAGTTGACACTACCTGTAGAGCATTAGTTGTGCCTGGGGGCGGCGGCTGATGAGCATGAAAATGTAGCATGAAAACTTTGTGTGTTCCACTTCATCGCCCTCTGACAGCAGTGTGCATGGAGGTGGATGGTCCTCTTGTCCCAGTTTATATTTAATGTTTACCTTTAATTCTCTCTAAAACTGTGCAGTCAAATAACTTCAGACTTTTCTGAACAGGATTACCTTGAACATTTCAGTAAACGTCTGAAGGACAGATTTATTTATTTAATTTATAAGAGTTCAAAAATACAATATCATTTGAGCTGCAGTAAAGCTACTTTAAATTGTGTATGGTCAGAGGACGACTTTGAGCAGAAATCAATTGCGCCTCTCAGCAATCCCATTATGGAAACAGTTTTTTATCATATTAGGACTTCTTTGGTCACTTCTTCAACAAGGCTTATTTAATAGATGATGTGTCATAAATTATTGCTGAAATGTGAGACTTTCTTCTTTCTTTTTGGCTCCAAGTGCCGGCACCCTGACAACGAATAGACGGCCATCAAAATCCAAGCTGGCTTGGCTGCAGTGTTTACAGTGCTGCTGCTGTTGCAGCGTGTCTGTCAGTGTCCTCTTTTCACACTATAACATTAGCAGTTGTAAATTTGTTTTTCACTGCAAGAGAAAGTTGACATGTGGCGTAAGAGTTGGCAGCCCTGCACCAAGTATTATCTGTATAAATTTACATGCAGCACGTAGAGCTGAGGATTACATACACAGCTCCAACTTTACATGTATTGTCATGCATATGCACGTGGTATTTCAAACCCTGCATGGGAATGCATTAGCATACATAAAACAAACACCATCGGCACAGGTGCTGATTTATATTTCTGCCAGTAGGTGCTCAAAACAGACGTTAATTCTTTGAGAGGAAAGTGTTACCCCTTGCAGCCGTGTGCTTCAAACTTAACGAGTTGAGGCGTAATTTTTTTTCTCCGAAAGATGTTTTGGTTCTGTGGTTTGATTGGCAAGTCAGTAGGGCGGGACAAAGCAGAACAAAGCCTACACATTGGCGGTTATTCTGACACTGATTTCAATTTGCCCCCTACTGTACACTGGTGCACATGGGCGCTCGGCCTTTTCTGTGGGGTGCTTCTGGGCTTGATTGGCAGCCATAACCATGGGTATTTTTCACAATGCTAACGTGTCTCCTCGCTTCCCTCAGTTGTGTCTCTTCCTTGGGTCTTAGTCAGGGTTTGAGAGAGAGATGCGAGAAAGAGACACATAAAATACACCTGTGTATCCTTGCTCAGAGCTCCTTAGAATCCTCCTCGCTCATCTCCTAGAGGTGCATTTAAGAGATTGTTAGTAAAGCTTTGATTCTCTGCCCATTCTCTGGGCCTGACCAACTCAACAGACTGGTATACAACATTGGTTACTCCTGAGTCCGACCCCAAATAACCAACACAACAATGGCCAGCGCAAAAATAATGCGACATAACAGATAAATATCGGCAACTGAATATATATATTTTTTTGATAATTCGAATATCACTATTAATTAATTAATACTATTAGGGCTGCCACGATTAGTCAACTAATCGATGACTAATCGACTATTAAAATAATCGGTGACTATTTTAGTAGCCGACTAATTGGTTTGAGTCATTTTTCATAGAAAAGTACTAAAAAAGTACCCCAAAATACTCTTACTGCAGCTTTTTACATTCAGATATTGGCAGCTTTACAACTCTCCCGTGACAGTGAACTAAAACCCTTTGGAGTGAGTATGAAACAAGACATTAGATGACGTAATTTTGGGGTTTGGGCGAGACAGACCGACATTTTTCAACATTTTAACACATTTTTAGATGAAATGATTAGTCGACTAATCGAAGAAATCGACAGATTAGTCAACAATGAAAATAATAATAAATAAAAATAATAATAGTGGCAGCCCTAAATACTATTAATAAATGTTGTATATCACGGCGAATCCCGTTCGAGCAGAAATGGCTCACGCACAAGCCGGGCCAGAGAGGGACGCAGTGACAGAGGGAAAGGTGCCGACGGCGCCAACACCATCCACTGTGCTGTCCACGATGTATGACCTGTTCGAGAGACATACAGGGAGAGTGTTGCACCTGCTGCCTCCCTGCCTACCCTTTTTGAAGAAGAGATGAAACGTTACCAGAATGAGACACCACTATGAGCCGACCAGGATCCACTCTTGTGGTGTAAAACTACGCACTGAAGTATCCAAACATTGCGGTCAGAACGGGTGTTATCATCAGAGTGTCAGGTTCATATTGTGCCAGCAATAAGCAGCTTATTTTTGTGTTTGTTTGTTTTTTTGTTTTGTTTTTTGTAAAACAAATAAATAAATAAAATAATAATAATAATAAATTCAAATATTATTCGAACTCTACTAAATTAATTCGAAAATATTCTAACTCAATTTCATGGTGCTTTTGACAGCCCTATCGGCAACTGCCACCAATGAACATCATCGTGTTTGTCTATAGGCTGATGGCAGTCATCAAGGTGAAAATATGCCGATGCTGTGTCAGAGATGGACGGCCAGAACAGCATCACTTTGGCTTTGACGAGTCGCAATTGTGTTTGATTTCCATATATGCTCAGTAAAGCCTGGACTTCATTGTCAGTCCATTTTTTTGTTGTTCACACAGCTAACAGGTTATTTAAAAGTGGTGGTTGCCAGTGCTGCATTGGCTGTGTTCGACCACTCATCGTACACTTACTTCACTCATGGTCCCTCTTATGCTATGGGAGTACCTACTCTGAAACAGGAGCTTATAAAGTCCGTCAAAATGGCGTTCTAAAAACTAAGATCATTCCTGGATCTTGCAGTGCAGACACAACAACAACAACGGGGGTTCTCAGAACTAGGGCTGCCCCTATATGAGAATTGTCCTAGTCGACCAATTGTCATCACTAAGCAACCTTAACAAGCATCGTGTAACCTATTTGCTTGAAATCCTTAGTGCAGAGCTGATCTTCTTCCAGGCGCTGTTTATAAGTGTGTAGGCCTATTGTCTGTAGGACAGATGTAAAGCTCTGGGTAGCCCTGCACTAACATGATCAACTTTTCCGTATTTATCAGACTGAATATTTACAGAAGAGAAAGATATCTGTCGGCTGTGATTGGTTTGTAACGTGACTCCTGTCTGACTGCTGAGCATGGCCACTTCCTGTGTCTGTCCTTTCAAATTAAATTCCCACATGGTCCAGTCATATAGGGTTTGATTTATTTTGACAAGGCGCAGCTCCTAATAGAGTTTCGTGGGGTGTTTTTTTCTGCAACTAAGCGACCAATGACATTTTGTTGACTAATGACCTTTCTGGTCGCCTAACATTTGGTCGACTATTAGGGGGCAGCCCTACTCAGAGCTATGAAAGTTCCCCCAGTCCGAAAGACAAATTATAAAACAGATAAGAGCATATGAGAAGGAATAAGGGCCCGTTCAGTCCTCTAATGAGGTGTTTTTCTGCTGGATGTGACACGGGACAAACTGCTCCAGATTCATCAGGGCTAAGATTCACCGGATATGACTTTTCATGTCGGTAACAATGATACCTTTTCTTTACATCTTGTGACATTATTTTTATTCTGAAGTGTCAATACAAGAGTGAGAGGACAGTTCCAATCCTGCCAAAAATAAAAAACGCCGCTGGGTTGTTATTTTTACACAAACCAAAGGAAAGATGACAGAGAATATCTGCTAAGCCTGTCAGCGCAGAGGGAGCGACAGCCCGTTCACAGAGACGATTCCACAGAACTCCATCTGATCAATTAATCATCTGATGGTGGACGTTGTGTTTTCAAAGCAAGGCACGTTATTTCATATAAATCCTGGTTGTTCTTAGATCTCTGGGCCCTGATATTTGGAGTGTGAGCCTGCAGTGGAGGCAGAGGGTGCAGGCTCGAGCATTAATCACGGAGAGGGATGAAAGTGTCCCACACATGTCTGCCTCCCTCTGGGAAGTCTGCCTTTGAAAGCTTAAACAGCTCCCAGAAACAGAAACTGACAGTGTTTACTCAATCTCACATTTTCCAGAAGAAAAGAAGATTGTCAAAAATATCTTTCTGTCTGCATGATCTCTTCCCACTATTCCAATATATCATTTATCTTGTGTAAAGAGCTCCATCTCAGCGGGCCCGTGTGATTTTAAATGCTGGTCACACCTTGTAGCATAATAATCAATTTGGTTTGAATTAACTTTTGGATTACTTTTTTGCCAACCTTGAATGTTAATTTAATTTTTCCTTCACAGTATGAATTCAAGCTGAAAAATATTAAGAAGAAGAAGGTCAACATTGTCGTGTCCACTGATTCTGTCAAAGTCATTTTGCGCAAGAAGAGGAAGGTCAGTCCTTTAAAATGTGACACCATTTGAATTAGATCTTATTGTCTCCTCAGTAACAATTTGTCAATGTCAACCTAATATGGTTTGTGTTGTTACAGAGAAAAGGGTGGTCATGGGATGAGAACACGATCCTGGTGACACAGGATCCCATTTACAGGTAGGTTTTAAATCAAAAAGAAGGACACCAAACCAAGCAGCTTGTAACCAACCCAATGAAATAATATGTATCATCTTCCTTTTGACAGGATCTTCTACGTCTCACATGATGCCCAAGACTTGAAGATCTTCAGTTACATAGCGAGAGATGGACAGAGCAACATTTTCCGCTGCAACGTGTTCAAGTCGAAGAGGAAAGTAGGTTCACTTCCTGATTAACTGAAAATATTTACATACATCCCACACAAAATGATCATTTGTATATCTATTACTCACCCTGTTGTTGAAATTGTGAGGAAAACTTTTTTTTTCCTCGCATGCTTCCACAGCGAACGAAGAATCCAAAAACAAAGAAAACTCTTGATGAACGGAAGTCATATAATCCAAGTCTCATTTATTCAGTCGTATACTCAGTACTTCCCAAACAGACAGCCCTTTTCTTCAGAGAACTAAACTTTAATGTAGTGTTCACATGGGGCACATGTGAAACAACTACCGCGAGTGAATTACATGTAAAGTCAACGTAAAGACGCGATTAGAATCAATTCATCGATTGAGGGATTTCATGCACGTATGATGCGAGTCAACATAAAATATTCTGGCGTTCAAACTTGTAGTAACACGACGCGAAAATTCTAATTGCATTTGGTGGAAACACAACAGAAACTTATCTACACTATACTCTCTTCAAAGCCAGACTCCATGGACAAAACCAGTAATTTCACTGCTGGTCCACCGCTGCCTCGATCTGTGTTTAGTGTGTGTTGTATTGTGTGGCCATCCTAAATCCAATTTAACCCTTTAAAACACCAAAGTCACAGATTAACACAAATTAACTAACTAACAGATTAAGGCAGTGGTAAACCAGCGGCTCCCGTGTTCAGTAATGTGAAATTACTGGTTTTGTCCATGGAGTCAGAGAGCATAGATAAGTTTCACTTTCAGTCAGTTTTTAATAGCAACAGTGCATGTGTTTGGAAAGTACTAAACATACAACTGGATAAATGAGACTTGGATTATACTGCCCAAGTTGTGTGAGAGTTAGTAAACGGGTGCTTTGATATAGTTTTGCTGCAGTCGCCCATGATTTCCATTTTTGGATTCTTCATTCACTGGAGGCTTACTTATGAATTCAACATAACACAGGGTGAGTAATTGATGTACAAACAATCATTTTGTGAGTGAAGTATTCTTTTAACAAATAAGTCTGGTGATATTACATTTTTTAATATTGTCAACAAACCCAATTTAAAGTCCAAAAGAAATAATGAGCTGATGAATACGGATTTGTCTGTGTAGCTGAAGCCTGATGCATTTTATTCCTCTTTATCTAGACCTCCATTATTATCCACACACTATTAAAAACTCATCAATGAGTCACACTGCTGCACTGAGTGACATGCTCTGTCATTACGATAAACATGGGCACTGTAGTTTATTTTGAGACAATACCACGTACATCTTAACATCACCTCAGAACTCACTACACCACCAAATCTTTGACTGAAAATAGTCGCCTACTCTCCAAGTAATGTTTTCTAAAAACTACAGTGCCCAGCTTTTTTAGGAAATTATATTTACAGTGAAGTCCCCCTCCACTCAAAAATGTTTCTGTTGTCCTGTAAAATGTCTGACCTTGACTGACCTTGGCTTAACTGACTTGTGTCAAAGTTTGTCATTAGAGAGGTGTTTTAACATTCCTCTACTGAGGGGGGCGGCACCTGAGCTCTTCTCTAAAATCTGAGATTCAACACCGGTCAAGCTAGATGAGAGACCATTAATAAACCCAGAGGGCTCACTTTAGATTCATTTCCTGTATCTGTGTCACAGCGGTTTTAGCCACTGCCCTGCCCCTTAAGCAAATTTGCTATGGTCCCAAGTCTATTCATTCCACTGGGAAAAGTGAACGTGGGCACAGAGTACAACCAATTCTTTGGCACGTAGTCACTGAAGTAAATGGTGGACCCAGTTTTCAGGAGCCCCATATGTTCTGAACATTCTGAAACTAAAATGGCATTTTTCAGAGACACAAATAAGGAGAAAATTTACTTTTTTTAAGACCCAGCAACACACTCTTGCTTGATCTGGCAACACAGAATAAACATACTTTAAAACATGTCAGGGGTGGGAGCTTTAAATTATAATTAAGCTTTAGATGTGCTTGCAACACGATTTTGTCACCTTTTGGACAGGCTAGCTGTTTTCCACTGTTTGCATTCTTTGTGCTAAGCTAAGCTAACCACTCTATATACAATATCAATAGTACAACTGAATACAATCTACCACAAATTACATGTTAACAGCTCTCAAATACAGAAGTGTCCCCTGGGATCTATATATATAAATCAACAGGTGATTTCCTTCTTATAGTAAAATCCTAAATGATTGAGTTGTTGTTTTTTCCACCTGGACCTTTATGCTCTGCCATTTCTCCTCTAATCATCACGCTGTAACCTGTGACAGGCTGTTACGATACCACAACTATCACACATTCACATATATGGAGTTTTTTTTTTTTTGTCGAGCTGTGAGCGTCACGTAGGTTTACATTACCAAAGGTTTATGACAAAATGACTTAACGACACCGCGCACAGCAAGAGAGTTGAGGGAGAGACGCTGTGCTGCTGCCAGAGGAGCCGCTGAATGAGTTCCCTCTGAGCGGTAAGTCACTAAAAGAGTCTGAGAAGTTCAGGGCTGTTCATAAAACATTCAGGACGCCACAGTTTATTCCACACTACTGAAGCTGCTCCTCTTTTTGGATCCACCGTGGAGTCTGTAATCATTTTGCTTTCGGCCATGCTTGTTGTTGCCGTGGGTAACAGTATGATGTCAACATGTCAACAAGTCGAAATAATGCGAGTATCACAACAAGAATTTTTCATGTCATATTAAAAACTATACCAGTACTATTGTGAATGTGATGATATGGCACACCCCTCCAAAACAATATCCATAAAGTGTATCTTCAAAACTTTTCCAAAACATTCTCTTGATTCCAGACCATTTCCAGGCCTGGACAACAGGTCTCTAATTTCATAACTTTTCCAGGGATTTCATGACCATGGCACAATCAATCTTCCAATTTAACTCTCAAGAATAAATCATAAGCATGCTTCTCAAAATGTCAAACTTCATTGGCGATGACTGTGTTTGGTGGTGAGTGCAACCAAAGAGGATGCAGAAAGAGTATTAAGAGACGGACAATCACATTGTTGGTTTTAGTATTATTGTGGATTTTGTTGACTTAAACAAAAGTGCAGAACATCTCCGACTTCAACTGTAAACAACTATGACCCAGTCAGTTGTTTTGTTTTGCTCTGCACATAATGATGATATTATGCCTGTTGTCTCAATGATGTATTGTCCTGTCGGATGTCACATATGGCCAATTAATCTGAGTCAGATCCATCATGTATTGTGCTAAAATGCATCTCCACATATCTGCATATCAAGCAGAGGCATTTTTTTCCTCCATGACAAAGACAGAGCATCAGTGAGGTTGACTCCCATTCCTTCACCATGGATACCAGACTGACAGTGACTTAGTGAAGCTGAATACTAATCATCTTGGTGTGAAGAGAAAAGAAGAGGGGCTTTTTCACTCTGGGCTTAAAGACATTTTCACCACTGCCGAACTAACACCCACAACATTGTCAGGGACACGGAAAGTGGTGCCTGACTCCCTCCCCGGGGCCACTGAGCCTTATCTGGGTGCTGCAGACCAAGCATGTGTGCTGAGTAGGAGGAGATGGACCAGCTGATAAGGAGAGATTTGATTTATTTTCATCACGGCATGTTGCAGCCCAGCAGGGCTTAGATGTCAGCTCAGTGCATCAACGCAGCCTTTTGTGTTTGGCCTTGGGAGGGTTGGTAGTTTAACCTGACAATTTTAAAACCAAAATGATTTTTTCTCTATTGATGGAGCACAATAATCAATTTCAGGACTTTATTCCTGTGTTATTTTTGGGGCTATTTCACTTTATTGAAATGCTTTCAGGCTTGAGTTACCTTGACATATTGACTAAATGAGGCAGGATTATCCTCCAGAGGCAGGTGACAACACATTTATTTCAACTCTTGCTTCCACCATTCAATATAAAAAAAACAAAAAATACAAAAACACACCTTTAGCGAGATTGAGGAAGGACACGGTGGATAAAGCTTAATTCCAGTGGATTTAGGAAGCCGCCACTAGACTGCATATGAGGGCTTTAGGGGAGAGAAGAAACCTTGAAATCAGAGAAGTGCCAGTGTCTCTAAGGCCATATTGAATCTCCCTGCCTGTGTGCTCAGCTTAAGAAACACTGATGACCTTGTTTAAACCGGTATAAAAATGAATATTTACTTTTTGTAATAACAATATTGATAACCTGATTTGTATAACTTTTAAAAGCCTTTTTAGATAATAGGAAAAACACATTAGGGCTGCAACTGGAAATTATTTTCATCACTGATCAATAGTCACAGTGCCCACAGATTCAAATCATTTATTTTGTCTGACCAGCGGCACAAAGATAATTAGTTGACTATAACATAAGACAAAGCGAAGCAGCAAACATTCACAGTTGCTGAGAAATGATTTAAAAGGGACAGTTCACCCCAAAATCAAAAATACATATTTTCCCTCTTATCTGTAGTGCTGTTAATTAATATAAATTGTTTTGGTGTGAGTTGCTGAGTGTTGGAGATATCAGCCATCTGCCTTCTCTTCAGTATAATGGAACTAGATGACACTCGGCTTGTGGTGCTCAAAGTGCCAAAAAACTACATTTGAAAACCTCAGAGATCATCACATAAAATACAGAGCCCCATCCTGACTAAGCCGGCAGGCCCCCAAAAAGCACTAGTTGGCTTCTAATGCCTGGGGCACACCAGCTCAATGTATCGTTGACTCCCCACAATGTATTTCCCCACCAGAGAAGCTCCCTGCTCTCTCATCAAACTAGCTGGTAGCCCATCTCACACCGCTGTAACAATCCTATACTGCCCTCGTGCGGTTAGGAGCTGAATTGCATGTCAAATAAAGGGGGAAATAAGACGGCAAATAGTAATAGTCGCATTAAAAAAAAAATCGATTTTTTCAAAATTAAAACGACTATTCGAAATTCGAAAATCATGACTCATCCCCATATATAATATCTGTAATATATGTTGGATTTACATTTTAAATAAATATTACGTAAAAAAAAAAAAAAAAAAAAAACACAGCCCAAGCCCCATCCAACCCAGCCAATCAGCACACATTTTCAGTGAGCAGTTTCATGTAGGAACTATTTTCTTCTACCGAACTACACCCACCAACTGTATCACCATACAGAAGGAGGCGTGCATCTACTGCTAGCTCACCTAGCACCACTGAGCTAGCTAACATTACAGCTCAGCCCAGGAGGATGCCATTAATGTTTATATCTCGCACTGTCACCAGCATGAGTGTCTTGAACGTGAGTAGATGCATGCTTCCTTCTGTGCAGTAATTTGGTTGGTGGATGTAGTTAAAAGAAAATAGTTCCTACATAAACTGCTCACAACAAGGTCTGTGGATTACCTTGAGTAACTGGGTCATGATTTCTGTTGAGTTTTTCAAATGTATTTTTTTGGGTGTGCTATCTAGTCTATCTATAGTCGATATGAGAGTTCTGCACTGGGTCGGGTGCCCGCAAAAGCTGTGTAACAGGTCAAAATATATTTACATATAAATTCACAAATGCGGGTGGCTGGGCAGCAGGTGAGAACAAAAATATATTTTTATTTTTAAGAATAAAACGAATAAAAAGAAGTGCAGTATACATGTAATTTTTTACATCTCAATCACTATTATCAAGACACAAAACCTTTCATTGAAAGTCAATAATACAAGTCAAACCTTTGACCCCGTCATCACATTCGTCACCAAAGTGGAGGACTCCAGCGATGAAATTTTGCAGCCCGAGAATGACGTGGCAGCCTCTATCAAGCTTAAGACACCCAGTGAGGATCCTTTGGAGGTTTTATGGCGGGGGAAGGAGCATGTTAAAGGTTTCCTAACTTGGCAGTGATTGCACGGAATGTTTTCGACATCCCAGCATTGAGCGCAGCCAGTGAAAGAGACGTCTCCTCCGCTGGATTCGTAATTAAAGAACGGAGAACCCAGATTAATGTGAGTGACTGTAACCTGTGTGTGTAATCACCGGTGCGGGTCAGGTCGCAGGACTTTATTAACAGGCAGACATGATGACGGGTAACGATTCAGTTCTGGTACTGAGCTTTACAGATATGGGCGGATGTGGGTTTTCAAAAATGGACCCTGGTCGATATCTCCAACACTCTGCAACTCACGGTAAAACTCTAGATTCATAAATAGCACTACAGGTAAGAGGGAAAATGTGTATTTTTGATTTGGGGATGAGCTGTCCTTTTAAACAATTATTCAACCATCAACTTAATAAGTTAAATTAAAGCCATACTAGAAAGGCAAACTATAAAATAAATTGATCAAAAATCAATACATTTTGGGAAAAGGTGGGTTTTGTGTAATTTAAAAGGAAAAGTTTGCTCATTTTTGATTTATTGCAAGTGAAACTGTTCCTGATAGATGACCTGATGATGCTGACACACCTGCTGAGCCTCCTGCAATAACAACAAACTTTATCTTCACTCCCTCTGCATTCAAAGTTACTCGCCTCTGAAATAGACCAATCCATCACCGTGACAGCAGAATGTATGCAGAGCAGATAGACAAGGACGAACAGGTGATGCTCCGCGCTCGTAATATCTTCTGACTTTAATTTGGTCTCTATCTCGCCTCCTGTTTCCCTCTGTCTTCATTTTTCACCTCCCGTTCTGCCCATGTGTTCGCCCAGATACTATTTCTCATCTTCTTTCTCTTCACGCACACACTCACTCATCTATCCACCGTTCTTCCTGTGCAACTCTTCTGGCACCTCATTTTCTCCCCTACTGTGCCCCTTCGTTTTTGCATCCTCCCTCGCCGGGCTCCTGCTGCTGCTCCCCCCGCCCCTGCTCTCAACACACACACACACAAACGCACTTTTCCTCTGTGTCCTCCCACAGTCTCAAGCCATGAGGATTGTGCGGACGGTGGGTCAGGCATTCGATGTGTGTCACCAGCTGACCCTGCAGCAGAAAAGCGATGACCAGGAGGATGAGGAAGGGAAGGCGGAAGAATCAGAGGCAGTGCCAGGTGACTCACACACACACATACACAAAATTGCTTCCACAAATCCTGCCCTCTTCTCCCTCCCGTCTCTCTCCTTCCCGTTCTCCTTCGTCTTGCACACAAACTCCCCAGGCCTCCTCTTCCTCTCTCACAAACAAAAACCCAGAGTAAAGATGTCATTATCCACCACTGCCGATAATTTTTTCTCAGCGGCTTGCCCTGCTGCAGCTGCAGATGTGTTTTGATGAGCCAGGCCAGCCATTGATCAAAGACCTTGCTTGTGTGTGGGCTTCTTCCATCTCTCTGGCTGCTGCCACTGTCACTGCCTCTAGATATGTTGTGGATTATAAAGCTCAAAGTACAAACTGCATGAACGTTCCTCCTTTCATGTGTCTGGTCTCTCTGCAGCAAAGAAGAGGTTTGCATTGTCAGAGGAGACCGACCTTGAAGCCACTACTGAGGAGAGCATTGAGTGCGTCTCTTCTTCTGACCTGGAGAAAAGCAAAAAGGACGAGGACCCTGGTAAAACCGAGAAGGTACAGGAGTCCTTGATAGTTTCAACATCACTCATAAAAGCCACACTATTTTCTCACTCCATTAGGAACACCAGAGGTTTTGTAAACCCCGCAGAGGCGAAGCCAACCCTGCAAAGTGCAATTTATGGATGCTTATGGCTCCTCTCTGTGTCACACAGCAGCTAAAATACAAAGCTGCAACTAACACATCTTTCTTACCAGTTAATCTGACATTTATGTTGTCAATTAATAAATGAATCATATGGTCTCGACAGTATCAAGAGGTTTTTTTTTTTAGTGTTTGGGGTATCGTGAGGGGGCACTATACCCCAAACACTAAAAAAAAACCTTTTCAAATCACTTGTTTTGTACAACCAACAGTCCAAAAGCCAAAAATCTTTAATTTACTTTCACAGAAGACTAAATAACAGCAAATATTCAAATTTGAGAAGAACAATAGAGAAATAGGTCCACAGTGAGGAAAAAGAAATTGAGATTTCAAGAATAAAGTCATAATATTACGAGGATAAAGTTGTAATACTGAGAAAAAATTTAATATTACATGTATTAAGTCACAGTTTCATGAGAATAAAGCACTATTTCAGGAAAAAAAAGTCATATTATGTGAATAAACTCATTTCTCAAATTTACAAGAAAAACAAAAAAAAATCCCTGTGGCTTTTACATGGAAATAAATAATGGCTATTTTTTTTAACATTTAAATTTTTATATATCAATGCTGTAGGCCTAAAGAAGTTTTTTTACATTCTCCAATTGTAAAAATGTGAGGCCACAATACTAATTTTAAGCAACTAAAATGTGAGAGATACATCTACTGCCTCGCACCTTCTCCTTCAAAAAATTTTGCTAAACCTCGATGGCCGTGGCGAGTCTAGAGTGTTCCTAGCTGGTTAGCTATGGATGCCAAATCCAAAAAAGTATAAGTCTCGGAATAAAATAGAGAATTTAGTGGAGCATTTAGTACAGCTCTGCAAAGTTAAAGTTCCACAAAATCATAAGTCACCTTGTGGTAAACACAAATGAACATTTAGACTGTTAGTAAAGGCTCATTTAGGCTTACTACGATGTTTTACCTTTGTTAAAGGCCTAAAATATGTTTTGCGGCTCCACACAGATTTTTTTTAATTATTATTTTTTGGTCAAAAATGGCTCATTTAATAGTAAAGGTTGCAGACCCCTGGTATACACTACAAAGAGTGACAAAGTCCGCATAGAAAGGAGTCACCGTGGATGAGTGGTTAAAGCACAGGACTTTCTCCCTCGAGACCAGGGGTCGTCTCCAACCTGGGGAAATCGGAGGTTTATTTATTATGTTGGTTTATTATTTTTAGACTTAGTTGACATATTATTTTTAAGTTTTTTTTTGCTTGAAATAGTATGAGTCTATATTCACTGAATTACAACTTTTTTCTCGCAATAATATGACTTTATTCTCGATTTTTTTCCCCTCAATATCCGTCGTAAGGAGGAAACAACCTGTGAATTGTTAACATCTTTGTTTAAAAAAATGAAGTTTAAATAATTCAATTCAATTTCAATTCAATTTTATTTATAAAGCCCAATATCACAAATCACAATTTGCCTCACAGGGCTTTACAGCATACGACATCCCTCTGTCCTTAAGACCCTCACAGCGGATAAGGAAAAACTCCCCCCAAAAAAACCCTTTAACAGGGAAAAAAAAGGGTAGAAACCTCAGGAAGAGCAACTGAGGAGGGATCCCTCTTCCAGGACGGACAGACGTGCAATAGATGTCGTACAGAACAGATCAACATAATAAATTAACAGTAATCCATATGACACAATGAGACAGAGAGAGAGAGAGAGAGAGAGAGAGAGAGAGAGATGCAGGTAATGACAGTAGCTTACAACAACATTATTGAAAGTAATAATATTATAGTTATAGTTCTGGCTACTGTGGTACAATATGTTGAAAGTATGTATTAATATCTGGCAGTATACATGTGTGACAATAGTCATATGTGTATAATAACAGTAGAAGTATGACTAATGACTAATGATGGCAGCAGCAGCAGGAGGCATCTGGCAGGACCACGGCAGCAGCACAACCACACACGTCACGCTGTCCAGGCACCGCTGCGATATGAGTTAATCTGAGAGACAGTGGAGCACAAAGGCTCCGGAGAAGAAGCCGAGTTAGTGACATCCAGAATGGCCGAGTTAGCAAGATGCAGTAATAGGATGAGAGTGAGAGAGAGAGAGAGAGAGAGAGAGAGAGAGAGAGAGAGGGAGAGAGAGGGAGCCCGGTGTATTATAGGGGGTCCTCCGGCAGACTAGGCCTAAGTCAGCCTAACTAGGGGCTGGTACAGGGCAAGCCTGAGCCAGCCCTAACTATAAGCTTTATCAAAGAGGAAAGTCTTAAGTCTAGTCTTAAATGTGGAGACGGTGTCTGCCTCCCGGACCGTAACAGGAAGATGATTCCACAGGAGAGGAGCCTGATAGCTGAAGGCTCTGGCTCCTGATCTACTTTTGGAGACTTTAGGGACCACGAGTAACCCTGCGTTCTCAGAGCGCAGTGTTCTGGTGGGATAATATGGCACTATGAGCTCTCTAAGATATGACGGAGCTTGACCATTTAGAGCTTTATAAGTTAACAGTAGGATTTTAAATTCAATTCTGGATTTTACAGGGAGCCAGTGCAGAGAAGCTAAAACAGGAGAAATATGATCTCGTTTCTTAGTTCCTGTTAGTACACGTGCTGCTGCATTCTGAATTAGCTGGAGAGTTTTTAAGGACTTACTAGAGCTACCTGATAATAGAGAGTTACAGTAATCCAGCCTTGAGGTAACAAAAGCGTGGACCAATTTTTCTGCATCTTTTCGGGTCAGGATAGGCCTAATTTTCGCAATATTACGCAGATGAAAAAATGCAGTCCGTGAGGTTTGCTTTAAATGAGAATTAAAAGACAAATCTTGATCAAATATTACTCCGAGGTTTCTTACGGTAGTGCTAGAGGCCAGAGCAATGCCATCTAGAGAAACTATGTCATCAGATAAAGAGTCTCTGAGTTGTTTGGGGCCAAGAACAATAACTTCAGTTTTGTCTGAATTTAACATCAGGAAATTGGTGCTCATCCAATTTTTTATGTCTTTAAGGCAGTTATGGAGTTTAGTTAATTGATTACTTTCTTCTGGCTTCATCGATAAATACAACTGTGTATCATCCGCATAACAATGGAAATTTATAGAGTGATTTCTAATGATGTTACCTAAAGGAAGCATATATAGAGTAAATAGGATTGGTCCGAGCACAGAACCTTGCGGAACTCCAAAACAAACTTTGGTACGTAAGGATGATTCATTACGAACGTCAACAAATTGAAAACGATCAGATAAATAAGATTTAAACCAGCTTAGTGCTGAACCTTTTAGGCCAATTAAGTGATCCAGTCTCTGCAGTAGAATTTGATGGTCAATTGTGTCAAACGCCGCACTAAGATCTAATAAAACAAGAACAGAGACGAGTCCTTTGTCTGAAGCAATCAGAAGGTCATTTGTAATTTTAACTAGAGCTGTCTCAGTGCTATGATGCACTCTAAATCCTGACTGAAATTCCTCAAATAAATTATTATCCTGGAGAAAATCACACAGCTGGTCTGCGACTACTTTCTCAAGGATCTTTGACATAAAGGGAAGATTAGATATTGGTCTATAGTTGGCTAACACCTCTGGATCCAGGGTGGGCTTTTTTAGGAGAGGTTTAATTACAGCTACCTTAAAAGACTGTGGTACATAGCCTGTTAATAGGGATATATTGATCATATCTAATATATGAGTGTTAACTAAAGGAAAGACCTCCTTAAGTAGCCTAGTTGGGATGGGGTCTAAGAGACACGTTGATGATTTAGATGAAGAAATCACTGCGGTCAATTCTTGAAGAGAAATTGGGGAGAAGCAATCTAAATATATATTAGATTCTACAGCTGTGTTTGAGGTTAGATAGGTAGGCCTACCATCTGAGGGCAGGAGGTCATGAATTTTGCCTCTAATAGTTAGAATTTTGTCATTAAAAAAGCTCATAAAATCATTACTGCTAAGGGCTAAAGGAATACAAGGCTCAATAGAGCTTTGACTCTCAGTCAGCCTGGCTACAGTGCTGAAAAGAAACCTGGGGTTGTTCTTGTTTTCTTCTATTAATGCTGAGTAATAGTTTGCTCTGGCATTGCGGAGGCCCCTCTTATAAGTTTTGAGACTGTCTGTCCAGATTAAACGAGATTCTGATAATGACATCAAATGTTTTTTTACTCATCATGAGGCGCACTACTCACACAGTTGTATAATGTCATCTGTGGATGTGGAAGGAGCGCTCCCAAATTTAATCAAATAACCCAAATAATGTCATCATGATGTCATCAGGGTTATCGCCGCTCAGGCTTGAAGAGTACACATTGTTTTACAAACGGAGGATGTGGAGTTTACCAGGCAGGGACGGTCTAATGAAAGATGTTATCAGGTTGCATTATGGGAAGTGCCGGATGCAGTATTTTTGGAGTTTGACCCACACTATAAGGACTAAAAGTCAGGATATTGTCTCTTCTGCAGAAAGGTGGTCCCCCATGCAAAATACTAAATGATCGGAGTCTTCCTTTAAACGATTAATCAATTACAGTTCTGTTCACCAACTAATTAATTATTCAGCTATTTGTTTCAGCTCTAATGCTGAGTCAGGGCTGTACAGGGAAGTCAGCTCCAATTATTTTTATAACATTGAAAACGTCCTCATCTTTAAACACTGATAAATCAAATGAAAAAATCTTTTCCATCAGATGTTTGCTGAAATGTTCAATCTCACCATTTTCAGGCTGACTCCGACAATGTGACCATGAAATGTTTTAAGTTATTTTACTGCACAGGTTTTGAGAAAATTGAAGGGAAACTCAAATTACATAACAGCCAGGGACTTTTTTTTCTCATATTTGAACTGTCACAAAAAAGAAAATGTCGCAGCAGTCAATGTTGAATTTCTTTTGACTGGATCCT